GATGCACCTGTTAGGTTCTGAGGTTACCCTTGGTCCTGCCTATCCCCCCTTTTTTTAAGTGCCCCACTCACTGTCTCTTCTTCCCCTTCAGCATGTCTTCAGGGGTATATCTTCTGGGTTTTTCCTGTCTTGAGGAATTTTCTTTTGTCTATGCATTTAAATATAATGTTATGAGGGCTCTTACAACTTTGCTATCTTACTACAAGATTGGTTGCCTTCCCAGGCAGCCCTTTCCTCATCATGAAACCTCTTTCCTTATTAACCCTCTTTCTAGGGTTAAGGATATAAGGCTTGTGCATTCTCCCTCTCATTTTAACCAGCTGGTGTTTTCATTTGCACATTTTATGCTGTCCAATCTTCCCTTTAGTGATTCGTCTTTTCTGGGTTTTGGCCCAGCAAATTTTCTTCTGTTGGCCTTCTCAGTTATTGGTCTGCATGAATCCCTTTTTGTTATTGTGTCTTCTACCTATTGTTGGTTGATCGCTAATTGGCTGTGCAGTTCTCACTGGCAGAGGCCCATTGCTCTTTCAGTCAATAATTTCCCCTTCCTGGTGGTTTTCTTGTCCTGCTCTGGAACATCAGGTTGATTCCCTGTCCTCCCCTTTGTCGTGGCAGTTTCATTATCTTGCAAAGTGCTTCTATCTCTCCATCTATCCTTGAGTCAGAAGTTGGTTCCTTCAGATACCTCTGACATGATAACTCTTGCTGCTTTTTGGACATTTTAACTTTAATCTAATACCTGTGTCCCTCAATAGACAATAAAGAAAATACAATGTTTGTGCTTTCTGTAAAATCTTTTTCTTGTAGCCCATTGAGGGACACAGGTCCCACTCCACTGTGTTTGTTGTCCCTGTGCATTGTTTCTTACAAAACCTCGCCATGTTGGGTAGAGAAAGAGTTATACGGGGGCTCTCTTACAACATTTGTTTTCCAGTGTACCATCCTCCTCTAGCAGTAAACCTGACTGTAATAGAATTCATGTGTCCCTCAATGGACTGCATGAAAAGGAAATTTCAGTAAGTACAAAAATCTTATTTTGCTTTCCCTATAATACAGTTTCATGGGTACTAGACAAAAGCATAGAAGTGAAACACCGCTTCCCCCATGGCTTTTGCAGGGGAAAGACACTTGGTGCTCACCTCAGGGAGGGAGGACCTTGGATGGGAATTTCCAATAAACTGATTCAGCAAGGAATGGAGTGCGGACAGATTTCTTCTTTTATTGTATACACTTAGACTAATTATACATTTACACCATAACAAATAATGCAAACTCTTTTAGGTGTAAATTAAACCAATTCATTTTACATTATCTGTTTTGAATATAGTGGGTAGGGGTTAGAGCCTCTGTTGTTTATTATTGTTTTTGTTCCCCCTTGGGAGATGTCCTGTCAATCCCTGACCTTACATAGTTACATAGTATTTGAGGTTGAATAAAGACATAAGTCCATCAAGTCCAACCTATTGTGTGTGTGTGTGTGTGTATAGGTCCCGGAGTGTTCTCATTCTTAAGAGTACCTGTACCCTTGTACATTACAGTCTCTCAGGAAATCGTCCAACAGCTTCTTGAATGATTCCAGACTATTTGCGGAAATCACTGCTTGAGGCAGAAAGTTCCAGACCCTAACTGCGCAAACTGAGAAGAACCCCCTTCGCCCCTTGTGTTTGAATTTTTTTTCTACCAGTTTTAGGTGGTGGCCTCTAGTCTTTGTTACGGAATTAATCTTAAAGAGTTTGTTGCTATGACTATTGAACATTTTGTACATGAAAATCATGTCCCCCCCTTAATCTCCTTACTTCCAACGTAAACATATTTAAATTTAGTAGCCTTGTCTCATAGTTCTGGTCCTCCATCCCCTTGATGAGTTTGGTCGCCCTCCGCTGGACTTTCTCCAGCTCAAGGACATCCTTTCTGCCCAAAACTGCACCGCATACTCCAGGTGAGACCTGGTGACAGCTTTTTCACTAGCACAGGACTTGTCAAGCTTTTACTAACTTATAAAATTGAATCAGGCATGTCAATTGCATGACTATACATTTATGAACTCAAATTCTTTGATATTCTTGAAAAGTTTTTTAAAATTGTCACACAAAAGCGCACCCTCAGTGGATCGAATGGGTGGTAGTGTCGTTGTGCGGCTCCAGTGGTCACAGGCCTGGGTATCCCATAAAGAAACTGTGTACTCAAATAATACAAAAAAAGAGAGAGGAGCGCCACAACCTAGTACAATAAACCAAGTGGGTATAGGGAGAAATTAGTATAGTTATAGTTGCACTCACTTGTGGGTTAATGGGAGTCAAAACTGGAGCAGCTGTACATGGCAACCAATCCGCCTCTCTCTTTCATTTTCAAATCTTAACTGTACAAACTGAAGAGAGAAGCTGATTGGTTGCCATGCACAGCTGCTCCAGATTTTGTCTGCTCCAGTTTTCATAAATTCCCCCCTATGTTTTCCTCTGCTTCTTCCATTAGACTTGCAATTGTTTTAAAATTACTGTGTATTAATATGTTTAATATAATTTTTTTTAATTTCCATTCTTTTTTCTGTCTAACATGTTTTATAAAAATCTATCAAAATGGTTTTATGAAACATATTTACATGTAGTAGTAATAATGTGTTGTTATTATGAAATGTTTTATGGTTTGTTGTGCTTTAATGCAGATGCTAAGGACCTGTTGACAGTCTGTAGTTTATCTCATTTTTAAAATAACTTTTCCTTCCGGTCATTTAGTGGATGCCGAGCTTAACTCCAGCTATGTTGTTAGGAATGAATGGAGGAAATACTTGTGTGACATATGAATTGTTCTATGTAGGAACCTTTCTGAACAACTCATAGTTTAATTTTGTAAACAATACAAACTAATGATTTCAGGACAGTGGTGGAGCACCAGAGCTAGGTCCCCGCTGCAACCCTGGTAATTCTCGCGCAAATGCCAAGTATCGGCATTGGTATCTCAACTGGTATCTAAACATACTACCTTCACAAATGTTATTGGGATTACAGGCCAGTAACATAGTATACTTAATGGCAGATAGCCATTGAGTCCTGTACAAAATTACATGAATATCATATTAAACATGTTAAACAGAGACTGTTCTATTTGGGGAAGTAGAGCTAACATAACTGTGCTTTTTCAAGTAAAATCAAATGTTATGCAAGCTCTTTTTTTCTTCAATAGAACAGGCAATAACCCACCAAACTAGTGGAGAATATAATATCAAGTATGTTTACTAATGTGAAATAAATCATATTAAAATGTTTTTGGAGCTGTTGTAATATACAGCAGGGCAGGCGTAATAGCACAGCAAACCAGTGGAGAGATTTTCTTTTTTTTTTATAGAACATTTTACCTATTTTTGCCAGGAAAAACAATTTGTAGTGCAGCACTGTACAATAGCAACACAATGGATTGCTATAAGGGTATGGTATGGCTAGGCAGTGATGAATATCAAGGTATCAGTGTTGGAGATACAATATATACAATACAACAATATCACCATATTAATAATATAGCATGTGCAAAGTTGTTTTTGATGTCCAGCAACAAAGAGTTAATGTGCATTTTATAGTATGCAGAGCTGGTTCTTGAACCAGCAAGGAGTACTGTGTCCAGCTGCCATGGATACTCTCACAAAATGGCCACTGGAGTCTGCAATTTCAGACATTTATCTACACACTAGTAAAAGTATATTGAAAAATGTCCGCAATTGCAGACACCAGCAACCATTATAAGAGAGTCTGCGTCCTAATAGGAAGCTGTACTCTCACTTAGGTGGTGGGCTTGGGACAAGGAGGTGACACAGGTTTGGAATCACTGCTTTAATGAAACATTGACACTTTTGCATTGCTTGCCATATTTTTTCATTTGGGTACTGGTGTAATATATCTTTCTCGGCCTTTTGACTAAGATCAAGTGTAGTATCTGTTCTTATCAGTTTTCGGTGGGGAAAAGAACCGTCCTTGCGGGGGATGGTTACTTAGTACTCGCTGGAGTGAAAGAGCGTGTGGGGCGGCTTCCTGTGAGAGGGGAACCGCTCAGTACATGGCTTTCTGACTGAACAGATGCGAAGCTTGGTCTGGCTCGAGGGTTCAGGGGCGGCAGAAGCCCGTGGTGTTGTGCCCCCTGGGGGTGGCGTCCCAGGGGTGCATCAGAAAATCACTTAGGGTGTGGGACCCCACAAAGTGATTCACTGTGCACTAGGTCACGACACCATCTTGCATTTTCTGCACTACGCCTCCAAGACAGGCCTTATGGCTAGTCTGGGGCAATTTTTTATGCACCCGGCCCCTAAGGCCTGTCAGAGTGGTGCACTGACACTTTAGATTTATTTAAGCACACTATCCACGTTTGGCACTTTTTATTTTAAATTTGTCCCACAGATGCTAAAGGTGCAGGTTTCTTTGGGGCCTAATCCTGACGCTGGGAGGAGATTCTGTGCCTCCTACGGGGTTCTCTGTCTCCTCCCACCCAGGAGTTGGGTCTCTCTTCGGGAGAGCCCACTTGCCTAGTACTGTGAGGGACCTGTTTCGGCAGGTCCCCCGAAGGAAATGGGTCCGCCGGCCTTCGGGTTGGTGGACCAACAGTCTCAACCCCTGTCAGGAGCCTTGCGCCCCAGGGGGTCGGGAAATTAGGTCCCTTCTTTGGATGGACCTTTCACCCTTGTGCACGTTTTTGTGTGCTGTGATTTCACGGTTGCACTTTTTTTGTTCACAGGGGGAAGTTTGTTTAGACACACGTCCACTGGCTTCGATAAAAAAAAACTGGTGTAAAATCCTTTGCATCCAAAGGGAGTTCAACTTACATTATATGTGGTGGAATAGTACCACACATTTCTGTGTGTTTGCAAAGCATTTCTATGAAGTTGCCATCTTATCTACAGTAAGCAGATACGTCTGCAAAGGTCACATTTTTATTGTATCACAATTATGGTGTTTCATTGTGCTGAGTTGCCCTAGACTGACTGTAAACTAAAGACATAACATTTCTGTTTTGAACAGATATTTGGGCTATTGGTTGTATTTTCGCTGAGTTGTTAACATCAGAGCCCATTTTTCATTGTCGGCAAGAAGATATAAAAACAAGTAACCCATTCCACCATGATCAGCTGGACCGGATATTCAGTGTGATGGGATTCCCTGCAGGTAAATCACAACTTCCACTAGGTGTTAGCTTTAGTTGTGGCTTTATTTCCTCAAATGAAAAACATCTATTGGATCAAACACTGTTTCAAGATTTGTTGGACTGTAAGGCACTTTCTGCAGATTCTTAGTATTAAATATATTTATGGTTTTATTATTATATACATTTTCTGCAGATCCTTGAAATTCAGTAAAATAATGTTTTGAAGTGTTGGTGTTGTACAGTTAATATAGACCCCAAAAGAACCAGTGATTTATTTTGTATTTATTTAAATGCACTGATGTCATCTATCCATTAGCTGTATGCAACTGAGGAGATGCCATGGTGTCTGGTGATAGCTGTAAGGAAATGCTTTCTGGGCCATTGCCAAGGACAGAGAGTTCATACAACAAATAGCTGTTATGCGATAAACCTTACATGGAATGGTAATAGGAAGCCAAATATCAATACTTGTATTCCCATTTTCTGAGGTGTCATGACATATAAAGGAGAGCTTCCCTCAATACAAGAGTCATTAGTAAAATATCAGGTTATGTCTTCTTGGCATTTCCTTGTTTTAACAGTGAGCTGCTATGCAAAAATATAGTACTCTAGCACCTCCATTATCCAAGTGGTGAAGAATTTATAATAGAGAATAGCTTTTGCAAAAAAACAACAGTGTACAGTGAGGCTAATTGCTAGAAGCACAGCTAACAATATTTACCATCTGACACTTTCATGTGTCTTAAATACCGTAATCTTAAATCAATCTTTCTTCCATCTGCTGTGTCACTAGTTGTACCTGTAGCTCTGCAGAGCTCTGTTAAGTTTGCAGAGCTACAGGAACACACTAGTGACAGCGGCAAGGAGGAGGCCATATGAGGCAACATTGGGAAGCAGGCATGCAACACACCCTGAGGTGTCAGATCCTAAGGATTTTTAGTGGCGGCTCTAGCTTTGCAAGTGATAGAAGACTGGCTTCAACTGAGCCAGTAAAGTTAAAGGAGAACTATGGGTTTAAGGCTTTTCCCCATAGTTCTCCTTAGGGTAACGGGAGGACACAAACTAGCGTCCTCCCGAGACCCTAGGCTCAGTATCCCGCGAGCTGTACCTCGCGGGATACTGAGTCGCCGCAGCTGAAGCGGATCCCGACAATTATGTATGGATCCGCCCAGCTGCGTGACTGACAGCTGGCTCTGCCTATCTAGAGGCAGAGCCAGCTCTACCCGCCCCCTCCTCTGTCCATTCCGCCAGTCAGCGCTGGCGGATCGGAGCAGGGAGGGGGGAATCCAGCCCCTTCCCGGTCACGGGGAGAGCCGTGACATGATCGAGAGGTGAGCGAATGCCGGTATGTGTTCGCTCACCTCCCGATCTACTAAGCCGACCTGTGACAGTCTCATTGTTACAGGTCGGCTAGAACTATGAGGTGAGTGAAAAGCACTCACCTTATAGTTCTCCTTTAAGTAATATACAGGTGAAACTCGAATAATTAGAATATCGTGCAAAAGTAATTGCAGTAATTGCTGCAAAAGGGGCCCAAACCATGTACTGAGTACATATGCATGCTTGTACTTTTCAGAGGTCCGATATTGTTCTATGTACAATCCTTGTTTTATTGATTGCATGTAATATTATACTTTTTTGAGATTGTGGATTTGGGGTTCTTGGGGTTTTCATGAGCTGTAAGCCATAATCATCACAATTATGACAAATCACGGCTTGAATTATCTTGCTTTGCATGTAATGAGTCTATCTCATATATTAGTTTCACCTTTTAAGTTGCATTAGTGAAATAAATGAACTTTGCACGATATTCTAATTATTCGAGTTTCACCTGTACATGTAATTTACAAAGCACAGTTTAATTTTTTTTATCAGCAATACTGTCTCTTTAAGTGACATGATATATTCCAAGCATCATAAGGCACTGGAAAAAATTACATCCGTTTTAATGACTTTTTTAGTATTATTAAAAATTATACCACTGGTTACTTAAAGTGACACTAAACTGGAGTTAAATCTTAAAAATGCATTTAAGTACCTTAACTATTAACAAAATTGCATCTAATTTATGTATCACTCAACTGTAGATCCTCAAATCATCTCTGAATCCTGACCCTATCCTTTCTTCTGGAGGGTGGCTACTTTTGTTCCCCATGGTCCCTGTGTTGCAAAGTAGCCATTGCTCCAAGCTCAATTCTGTGATGGACTACTATCTCACATTTAATTAGCTAATTTGTATTGAAGTTATAGTCTATAATGGGGACCGTGGAAAAGTAGCCACCCTCCAGAAGGAAGGACAGTGTAGGTATGAATTCAGAGATGATTTGAGGATCTACAGTTGAGTGATACACAAATAAGATACATTTTTCTTAACAGTTAAGGTACATGAATGCATTTTTAAGAACTAACTTCTGAATTTCGTGTCACTTAAAAAAAGATAATAGGTGCCAATAGATATTTCAGTTTTATGGTAATCGTAGGTTCTTCACTTTGAAAAAAAAACTAAAGAAAATTGACTTTAAAATGACAAAGTCTTGTAAAAAAATTTTGTATTCAATTCAAATTTTTTATACTAGAATGAACAGTGTAAAATACTCCAAAATGATAAGAACTGCTTCATAAAATCATGTATTTGAAAATAGCTGAACTCATGAATACACACGTTTCCAGAAAATGACTATAAAGGGTCAGACACCAAAAATGTAATATTCTGTCACAAAAAAATGCCATATATTTATACTATATTTTCTATGAGTTTTATTTTGAAAACTATGGTTTGCCTTTTTTGTTTAGATAAGGATTGGGAAGATATCAGAAAGATGCCAGAATATCCTACTCTTCAGAAAGATTTCAGGAGAACAACGTAAGGTTTTACACATGTCAAACGAGTGTTTTTAGGGCTGGTTGTGGTTCTCTAACTGCTTCTTATGTTGAACAATTTTCATTGAATCAGGCCCCAGATCATTCTGTGGCTCTTTAAGGCCCCATTCACATATGTGCACTGTGGTAACGTACGTAAAGTTGTGTGTTTTTGTGCAGTGTAGCATGCCAAAATGCACATCACTTTGTAAGAAGCACTGAGATGCCATTCATTGTTAATGGCACCCCAACACACCTTTCTGCACCATGCACTTTCAGGTGAGTGAAATTGCTCCAAAATGCATGATAACAAAATACCATGAGAGGAATTTATCAAAACTGAAGCCGAAAAAATCTGGAGTAGTTGCCCTGGGAAACCAATCATCTTCTCTATTTAGTTTATTCAGTTAAGATTTGAAAATGAAAGAAAGATGGTGATTGGTTGCCGTGCACAGCTTTTTTGATAAATCCCCCTTGTGTTTTAGTGTGGCGCATTTTGAGAAAAAGGGACAAGGGGGTGATTTTTCTGCGTAGTGCTAATGCTTTAGAAAATGTAATTTCTTTGTAATTCATTGAGGGACACAGGAATGTAGTAATTCTTTACATATGAGTTATATTGCCCCCTACGGGAGGATTTGGACACCGGCAAACAAAACACAGTGACTAGCCGGGTATAACACATGCCACTCCCAGTATGCCTCATTTTTTTACTAGTATCCTTCGCTACGCACTGCTTGAGTTAGTTTCTTTATGCAGCTATCCAGATCAGTGTATCCTCAGTAACAGCTTTGGAGGTTTACCCAGACCCGACTGATCTGGACGATTGTGGGCCTGCCTGGAATATGACCTTCAGGTACCGGGCTCTGTGTTTGACACTTTCCAGACCATTGTGTGCTTTGTCTGTTAGCACCAGAGCCTTTTCCAGCTCCATAGCCATGGTATAGCCTCTGCTGTGACCCTGTCTTTGAAGTACTCACATTGTAGGCCATATGGGCTGAGTATTGGGATAAGCTTAGTTTATTAGGACTGATGGGGTGCCATTATTATACACCATTTTTTTCCTGTTGGTTTCCGATGAAAGTGTGGGATGCTGAAGAACTGAGTGCTTTGTCACAAGATGTCATGTCGCCAATGACCTCTGTCCTCTGTTCCTGCCATTCAGTATGAGGTAGCACCTACCTGCTACTGCTCCTAATAGCAAGAGACACGCGGTTCCACCTCGTTTCTTGCTGCCACCTACAGTGACCTGGTCACCTCCGGCCATTGAACCTCTCCTGTTGTGGTTTGTGAGTACCTAAGGTTTTATCTGGTATTCTGAGTGAAGTTGTTCCTGCCCAGCAGTGCAGCATGTTGGACCCCAAACACAATTGGAGCAGTCCCCCAGTACCGTGTCCCCCCCAGCTCACAATGCCTTATCACTGCATTTATGCAAGGTATCATGGGCCAAATCACAACTTTAAATGCTGACTCTACCCATCCCCTCCATCAGGGAGACTTTATGGTCTTTGTAGACATCAAGAGTGCATACTTGCATGGCCCTCTTTCAGCACATCAGTGATTCCTTCACTTTGCCGTGGGTCCCCAAACTTTCAGTTTGGGGTCCTGCCATCTGGCCTCTCCCCCAAAACATTTGTGTTCACCAAGGTTTTAACTTCTGTGCTTGCCTTGTAACACTGCCATGGCATTCCCACTTTGGGATATGTGGGCCCACAGGACGGTACTTTGAGACCCCTGCTATAGATGATCTGATCCTCTGTCAATTACTTTGTTAGCAGAGGAGAGAGAACCGTGGGTTCCTTTTCCTCTTACATCTTAAAAATGCACAATTAAAGTTTTCCAGTCCAGCAGAAGGAAGTACCTCACCTCCACTTCTGATCCCGAATCCCTGCACCTCATTGTTGTGCTTACCCCTCCTCTCCAGGAGGCAGAGAGTGACAGGCAGGCTGTGTGTTTCACTCACAACACAAAGTCACACACACAGAGCCTTGTTACCAATTTGTCTCTTCCATCCTGTGTCCTGAGCTTTGTCTAGTATGGGACAGGTTAACGGCAGGTAGGACAGCTGGCAACTATGCATTTATGTATCATGTACCCAGCACAGAACCTGAGGCCGCAGAATTTGCATGGAGATGGATGCTCCACAGTTGATCAGAGGCCATTCTGTGTTGTCACGGTGCTGAAGGAGCGCAGAGCGGGTATAAAACAGGAACCGCAGCACTGCCGAGCAATAACTGAGAGGCCCCGGCCACAGCTTACAATCTCTATATAAGCACTAAATACTTCAGCTACCCGCAACCAGAAGAGCCGTACCAAGCCAGCCATACTGCCGATTAAAAAAGCACTGTGATTGGCTTGGGCGCTCTGCACCATGTAGCTGCTCCTCCAAGTCAGGTACACGGTCCGTGACTGCGTGCCTGACTAGTCAGCTGGCTGCGGGCCGCATGGTACCAGTTTGTGGTCTTATTTCAGTACTGCTTTGTTACAAAACTGAGTCATCTGGGGAGTGAGAGGGGTTATACCAGGCTGATCACTGTTTTTTTGTTTGCCAGTGTCAAAATCCTGTAGGTGGCATTCTAACCCTAATGTCTAAGAATTACTATGCATTCCTCAATTCCTGTGTCCCTCAATGATTTCTTAGAAAAAGATTTTACAAAAATACTATTTTGCCACTTCTTATAATGAATACTATATTATAATAAATGCTAAAGTTTTTATTATTTGTTTTATTGTCTTTTGTAATTTGGTAGCTGTTGCTCTCAGCAGGTCTACTGTTGCCCAATACAGAATTTTTCTACTACGTTTGGGTCACTGGTTCATTCACGTTTGCAATCCCAGCTTTTTTGTAGTGCAGTGTTTACATGCATAAGCTTGAAAATAAAAGCAACACTATTGGTGGACTGGCGCCTCACCAGTTAGAAAGCCTCACACACCATTATGCAGTACAAATGAGTCATCCTGACAGGCGGATCAATACTGCTGCAGTCAACGTGCTTTGTATTAAATGCATAATATGCAGACTTGAAAATAATATTACCCCTGTGCTTCTAATTAACAACATTCTTATGAAAATAGTGCTCTGTTTTGCCTGTTGTTTGTGGCTGGACTATTATATCTATAGTCAAAGAGCATTCTGAATGTAACATGCTGAGACAACAACAGAATTGCATTTTATTTGCATGTTTTAAGAGGAAATGCTATGTGTAGGCTCTTTATAGCAAAAGGTATACCACTTCATGTTTCTGTCTTTTATGTTTTACAGGTATGCTAACAGTAGCCTGATAAAGTATATGGAGAAGCACAAGGTCAAACCTGACAGTAAGGTTTTTCTCCTGGTAAGTTAATGATGCAGAAGAAAGAAACGTAAATTTTTTTATTATAAAAGTGTACTCCATATAAGCTTATTCGGTAATGCAGTAGAAAGACGCATGATTTTCAATGCTCAGTAACCTATAACACCAATAAGATTTTACTTTCTTGATATTATATTAGTGAAAAGTCAAGTGGAATTTGTTGTTATTCAGAGCTATTTATCCACCCACCCCCAATTTCTGAGTAAAAAGAGTTAATTGAATATTCATACAAAAATATTTTCAAATCACAGCTTCAGTGCTCAGCAACTGTGCACATGCCTTAGGAATACTGACTTAAATTTATTTTATTTTTTTCTTGGGCTTTAGGGAGTTTGGGGAAAGGGTGGATTCAGTCATCTGATTAAACTATACTCATACTTTAATTTTAAAATTTGATTTCCTTTTAAAAGCACTACTAGTCACCTCTTAAGTGAAGTTGCAAGGTATCCATTTTAATTGCTGAAAAGTATTTCCACAACCACGTTACATGATCATATAAAAATTAAATGCATTGAAGTCATTCTGCCAATTCACAAGGTACAACATTGGTCTTGGCTATTAGACAACAACTTTTGTTTAGAGTGTTCTTAAAGAGGAACACCTTGTACTTTGAAGTTTGCAGTGTTACAGTATACGCCCAAAAAGTTTTTCTTTTTTAGAAACCACAAAATAGAGTGACAATTACAATAATTGAGTCATAACTTTAATCTACAATGATCCTTAATCTAGTGGTTTAGGAGCGACCCTCCGATCCATTTCGTGTTACTTGTGGCAAAATCTCAGCATGTTACACACCTAATATTTATCATATAAACAATTTAATTGACAGGATATCTTTTTTTTTATTACTAAATATTTTGAAGTATTACTATTTATAATAATATAATACATTTGTTGTTTGCTATTCTTTTCCATGCTACCATGTTATGCTTGAATTTGGCATAGTAAGTGTGAAAGATAGATGTCTGGTACAGACTTATTTTTCTTAAGTATGATACAGCTATACTGCCATATATTCATTTTTCAGATAACCCACCCACGCACACTTGGCTAATTATCAACATACATAGACTTAAAATAGTTTTCCACAAAATTTGGAACATATTAAAGATTTACATTTCTGTAAAAATATCTGTTAATGCTAAATCTGAGCGTATTGTGCTTGACATAACGTACATTACAAAGGTAACAGTATATTTATTAAAAGCAGCTCTCTTCTTCAGTTTCAGCAGATTGCTGTGTCAGAAGCATTAAGCCTCAGCTTATATTGTCATACAGAATGTGCTTACATACACATGTTCTGAAACAAAGTGCACTAATGTCTAAGATTCTCTATCCATTTACCTAACATTTCCCAGAAATCATATACTTTTCCAATAATTATATAGTAAGTACTGCTAAAGAGGATATTAGAGTAATATTCTATATACCTAATTATTCAGCTTCACATGTGAAGCTTTGAATAAAACCAATAAAATCATTGATCCATTAAGACATTGCAGATTTTAATATCTCCGATTTTATTTTGAACAAGTAAAACTAAGTTGGTTTCATATACATACAATATTTGTGGTACACCTCCTCGGGGAGTACCAAGGTAGGAGCTGTAAAAATCACAGAAAAATGTAAAAGTGCATTATTTACAGATTCTGAACAATCAGTAAAGCACTTCAAAACAAGCCCCGAATCTCTATAGCTTGAAAGCTGAACTCCAGGATAAACAAATATTATCTAAATACAAAAGGCATGTGTTTTCTTATTTGTATCTTGGTGTCCTTTTTGTATTTCTTCTGGATCTATGCAGTAATCCAGTGCCTTTGTGCAGGTGCTTTTTGTAATAAAGACCACTCACTCCTTCTCTCTGTCCTTGTGTAGGTTGACCGGTCTTGTATCTGCCCCCATGTAGTAGGGGTAGCCTGCTGGGCCCCTCCCACAGCTCTGCTCTCTGCACAGGCTATGTGCAACACAGTGATGATGTCATCACTACTTTTATAGGGAAATACAGTATATGGGGTTTTAAAAGTGTTTGGTGCACACACACAGCGGATTTATATCCTTTGTGGCTAATAAGGAACATATTTCAATAAACGTTTTTGTGCCCAGAATGCATCTTTAAGCATTGTGGAGAAAATAATTTAAGCTTACAACACAGGCACTGTGATTTTCTGAGGGCAGATCTTGGCAGACTGTCAGCCCTCTAATGTAAACAAGCTGATGTTTTTTAAGTGACTTTAGCATCTTTGTTGTGATCTTAGAGGATTTTAGAGAATGAATATCTTCACATTAAAAACAGATAGGAAGGTGAGTAACTCTTTTACTTTTAGTTAGGAATATGTTAATTGTTTCATTTCCATCTGGGCATATGTGCACTTACAGATACAGAGTTTGAAATAATACCGTAAGATTAAAATATAATATTTTTTTTTTCAGGGAATTTGGTAGTCATGCCTGACAGAAACAGCATGAAGTTCTGTTACTATACAGCAGAACTGTTCATGAATTAGTGATGAATGTGATTCTCCACGCATTACCTTTTAAAAGCATTAACAGAATGAGACTAAGAGAGCCTTGCTAGGATTATTAGTGTTGCACACACAGCAGTGTGTCGTCTGAACATCCAAGGGTTGCGCTGGCTGTAATCCTGAATGGACATGTAAAACTTCTAGAAAGATGTTTAGGGAAATGCAGCAACCTGGGCATATTTAAAACCCCGCCTTTTAAGCGATACCATAGTCATTTATTATTTTATATGAAAAGTTAAAAACATGTCTGTTCCGGAACAGGAAAGTGTAGAGATATTATGAAAAATGTTTTAGCAGATAGTATGTGCAGGAAAGCAAAGCAGAGGCTATGACAGTATGTACAGGAGAAAAAAGGCAGATTGTTATAGTGGGCAGTAAGTGCCAGAGGAAAGTATGGAGAGTATGATTACAGCCAGTTCATTCACAAGAGATTTACATGGTGATTTTGAATCTTTTTGTTCCTGCATCAGGAAAAAGGCATTCTTAAGTGTTGCAAATCCCCAGGGCAGTTCTTGATTGTGCATTTTCGTGAACGAGAATCAGCCATATAGTAAAAACCTGTGCTTAAAAAGGGAGATAATACAGTTAATAACAAGCACTTTGTGGACAAACAACACTTTTAAAGCTTATCCTTTGTACAAGGTTATTTTGCTGTTGTGACTTTCATGATTAGAGCTAATAATTTGATTAATTCTTTGACCTTTGTTTCATGCAGCTTCAAAAACTTCTTACCATGGACCCAACAAAAAGAATAACTTCAGAACAGGCTTTACAAGATCTCTACTTTCAAGAGGATCCTCTGCCTACATCTGAGTATGTTTTCTTTTTTTGCACTAGTATGCACTTTCACACACATGTGTATTGAATTATTTAGTTCACATATATTGTAAAGCCTTCACTTGTTCTTTGTTATCTTTCCATGAGTGTTCTGATTCTCGTGAGCTTTGCTGCCTGCTTTTCTCTTACGTCATTTGGCTTGCAAACTGCAGCACAGTGTCATTGACATTGAGGATGTCATTGAGACTATCTCTCTGTATAGACAGAGAACTGTATGGACAGAGAACTTGTCTTGGTACAGCAAAAGATAAGAGGGCACCATATCAGTCCACGTTACCGAAAATAACATCTGTATTCTAAGAAAAAAAAGTAATTTACACTATATTGCCAAAAGTATTGGGACACTCATTGGATTCGGGTTTTCCAGTGAAGTTTCCTTGCTACTAAATATTCCACCATCAACTGTTAGTGGTATTATAACAAAGTGGAAGCAACTGGGAACAACAGCAACTCAGCCACGAAGTGGTAGGCCACGTAAAATGACAGAGTGGGGTTAGTGCATGCTGAAGCGCACAGTGCGCAGAAGTCCCCAACTGTCTGCAGAGTCAATAGCTACAGACCTCCAGACTTCGTGTGGCCTTCAGATTGGCACAACAACAGTGCGTAGATAGCTTCATGGAATGGATTTCCATGGCCGAGCAGCTGTATCAAAGCCTTACATCACCAAGTGCAATGCAAAGTGTCCGATGCAGTGGTGTAAAGCACGCCACCACTGGACTCTAGAGAAGTGGAGTTGTGTTCTCTGGAGTGACTAATCACTCTTCTCTGTCTGGCAATTAAATGGACATGTCTGGGTTTGGTGGTTGCCAGGGGAACGGTACTTGCCTGACTGCATTGTGCCAAGTGTAAAGATTGGTGGAGGGGGGATTATGGTGTGGGGTTGTTTTTCAGGGGTTGGGCTTGGCCCCTTAGTTCTAGCGAATGGAAATCTTAAGGCATCAGCATACCAAGACATTTAGGACAATTTCAGGCTCCCAACTTTGTGGGAACAGTTTGGGGATGGCCCTTTCCTGTTCCAACATGACTGCGCACCACTGCACAAAGCAAGGTCCATAAAGACATGGATGAGCGAGTTTGGGGTGGAGAAACTTGACTGACCTCAACCCGATAGAACACCTTTGGGATGAATTAGAGCGGAGACTGCGAGCCAGGCCTTCTCGTCCAACATCTGTACCTGACCTCACAAATGCACTTCTGGAAGAATGGTCAAACATTCCCATAGACACACTCCTAAAACTTGTGGGCAGACTCCCCAGAAGAGTTGAAGCTGTTATAGCTGCAAAGGGTGGGCCAACTCAATATTGAACCCTACGGATTAAGACTGGGATGCCATTAAAGTTCATGTGCGTGTAAAGGCAGGCATCCCAATACTTTTGGCAATATAATGTATTTGTCTGTATATAAATATTAAAATATATCCCCCAAAGCTGCTTCCAAATACACATACATAGTTATTTACATACAATTTTTTAACTTGTATTTCCACTTAAACATGTACACTCAAAAACAAAAAAAATTTTAATTTAGAGATGCATACTGAAAGCATAACCTACCTGCTGGGTGGTTCCATTGTTCATTCAGATATTAGTATACAGCATAAATCCACCCACTTCCTTTTGTTTTTAATATGATGATCCAGGGCCACACCTGCTGGAGATGATGGAACCCCTGCCCTTGTTGTCTTACAAAAATCGTCATGTAAAAAAAAATATGCGAATACTAAGAAGTTTCCTCAATCCAACCTGCCTTGTATTTGCTTAGTAGTGCAGGATCAGAGAGAAACGATACACAGCAAAGGCTGCCGAATGGAAACTCATGTTTACACTTTATGGCACCGTAAGTCCTTTTTCTGCAGGAAATTACACAGGACTCAAAGTAAATTTAGTAAACTTTCTGACTCAAGAACAATTGCTGAGTTTACTGGATTTCATCATTTGCTTACTAAATTATGAATTTCAGTTGCTTTTTTGGAATTGCTCTTTATTTGGTTTTCTTTGATTATAATTAATATTACCTGCTCACATACTTTTCTCCCTTAGCCTAAAGTCACCTGCCTACACCCTCAGGTAATGCTGGGAGATGCGTTTAGGGTTAGGGTGGAAGGGGTGTAGACATGTTACGCTATGTGGTTAGAGAGAGGTACAGTAGGGTAACCTTAAGACTGTAGGCTGGTGACTTTAGGTCAAGGAAGCTAGTGTTATGGGTGGGGGACTTTCAAAGTACACATTATCTCAGATATACAATTTCCATTAATACTGGTATAAAAACACTTTCAGGAGTTCATGTTGGAAGTTGTTTTTTTAAATTAATTATTAAAATGCTTGGTGTTTTATTAGTGTGTTTGCAGGGTGCCAGATACCATATCCAAAACGTGAATTTCTAAATGAAGATGAGCCTGAAGAAAAAGCTGAAAAGGTATATTGTGTGTGCTATGAGACACACAACACATTTACTGCATTATACTTTTTGGTTAGCATGGGGACGGGTTAGAACATCGGTGGTTTTTTTTGTTGAAGAAGAGAATGCTGTGCTGATGCTAAGATGTCACGTTTTTTGAAAAAAATACCTGTTGTCGTAATCTTATTAAGACTTCTCATAAATCGAACAAGATGGCCAACTCTCCCACCATGGCATACACTTTGGAAGCAATGTCAAAAATGAGCACTCATGATTAGAAATATAAACTTGAAGACCAGGGGTAGGCAATTTTGGTACTCCAGCTATGGTGAAATACCTATCCCATCAGGCCTCTGGGAATCATGCCTGTTGCTGTCAATCTTACAGTGCCTCATGGGACTTGTAGTTCAACAGCAGCTAGGTCCCAGGGTTGCCTACTCTTGTTGTAGACTGTTCGGTTTCTTTGCAGAAAAGAAACTTTAGAAAACTTTATTGGACAAATATCTTCTAAAAGTGGACATGTTTCAAGGGATTTGAACCCTCTTCATCAGGCTTAAAGTGACGTTTAATTCAGGAGTTAAATCTTAAAATTGCATTCAAGTACCGTAACTATTAACAATACTGTATTTCACTCGGCTGTAGATCCTCAAATCATCTCTGAATTCATGCTGACACTATCCTTTCTTCTGGAGGGTGGCTACTTTTGTTCCCCATGGTCCCTGTGTGTGTTGTAAAGTAGCCACCACTCCAAACTCGCTCCCGTGATAGACTACAATATCAGTACAAATTGGAAAACTAAACATGAGAGTGTAGTCCATCTGAAAATTGCCTTACCTGAAGGTTTTGTACATAATGATGCAAGTAAAAAAAAAATGTAAATAAGGAAATGTAGTTTGCCACAGTGAAAAAGTAGTTAATAGAGGAGCGGTTTTATAGTGACAGGCCTGCAGAGGATTAAATGATAGTAATAGGGTCCTCCAAACAATAGTGACTTAACAATATGTAGGTAAACAAATTAAGTAATTCTGACATTACATGGGCAAAAAAATCAATTATAATACTCAGACAACAAACAGTTTATTGTTAAACTACTTCAGCAATTAGTTGGCAACGACTAGTACACACATGAAACGGCAATCATTACAATATGCAGGCGGCAAATAGGCAATTAAGATGATATGTGGCAGACTTTACAACTAAGAAGGATCCTGGGAGAGCTCTCCACCACCTATACATCACGGGTAGCGCTAATCATGTTCTTCTGAAACATGATCTACATGATCCCAAAGTGCAAAATATAAAGAGGGTCTAGTTTTTACCAGGGACCCCTACAAGGAGGTTTGTATCTATCTACATGACATAGTTCAAGTACCTGAGTTTGCAATACAAGCAGCAGCAAGAAGGTGAAAGGCAACTAAAGTACCTTATCATCAGGTAAGAGCATATTTCCTGATGTATAATTGATAAGTGCAGTATATGGGTGTACTATGTATGCTCATGGTAACCGGAGTTCTATAATGTATGACCCATCATTAGAAGCATGAAAGAGTAAAGCTGAAGTAATACATTTAACTGGCTAATGGAATACACTGAACCGTTAAGCCTTTTACTGTTATATTAAAGGTTTGCCGTTTTTATCTACTCAGCAAATAAGCTTTTTTATTTCAATGTTATTCGTTTTCACCAAATTACCATGTAACAAAAAAAGATCTTTCTGTGTTTGAATATATGGTAAGTATAACTGGTGTGATTAAAATGGTTTTACCATTGTCTCTCCAAGACATTTTTGCCATATACTGCTTAGTTCTGTTCATAGTATTATAGCTTTTCATTTAGTAAACATAGTTTACACTTTTCAGAATCAACAGGCACAAAATCAGCACCAGCAACAAACAGCAAATCAACAACAGACAGCTGCTCAGCAGCAGCAGGTGCAGCAACAGAACAGCAGCCAGACCAATGGTACAGCAGGAGGTGCAGGAGCAACAGTGGCAACACTTCAGCATAGCCAGGATTCCAGTCTTAACACAGGACCTCCAAACAAGAAACCACGCATGGGGCCTTCAGTGGCTAACTCTGGAGGACCCTCTCTGATGCCTTCCGACTATCAGGTACAGATTTACCTGTCAATGAGGTTAATCAGTAGTATGTATGTTGTCATAATATACTAGTCAGTTAACTTTATCTCTATATGTAAATCAAAATAAATTGCTGCTATGCTGAATATCAATTCTATTAATATACCAACTTATATCCACATATAGCACAGAGCTCTATGTAACACCCAAAAAAACTAATTCTATTTTTACTTGCACTAATAATTATAGAGTGTTCTTTTGTATATATTGTGTGGCAGTGCATGGCAATGCCACGGTGTAGTATGGCAACTTTGGCGCCCAGGACTCTCAGCCAGAGGGGCTGAGAGGTTCCACAATGTAAATACCTTTGGAGAGGAGGAACTGGCTGTTCAATTCCTTCCGGGTTTTCCAGACTATATTTGGATGGGATCTCCATTCCTGGGGCCAGGTGTTGCCAGTGGCCAGGTTGAGCTGATCAGGTGGCTGAGAGCAGCCTTATTAGGAAGCCAGCCCAGTGCTTTAGAGGAGAGTTGTGGGTGTGCAAGAGGCACACGACGACAGGCAGACTCTGCTGCGTGCGTGAGCACAAGGGACACAGCCAGGAAGGCTGGAGAGGTCCAGAGGGTGGGTGACCCTGAGATACCTGTCGAGGAGACAGAGAGGGACAGTGACCCACGAGGGGTGGATACTGAACCGCTTGGAGCTAAGGAAAGCTGCTGAGCAGTGCTGAGGACTGTATTCACAGAGAAATACGGTAAAGTCCTGAGACTATCACACTGGGAGTGTATGGAACAGACAGATGTCGGTGAGACCAACCACAATGTCTTGATGAGACTCCTGAATGAACTGTTATGCTTAATTTATGCTGAAAAAAGACTGTCCTTTTATGTCAGCTTCAGGAGTGGTCACTTAGCGCTTACCATTGTGCTATATTCCCCAAACTATCACAATTGTTGTACATTTGTGTTTGATATATTTACTGATGCAAATTATGTTGCACTGCCATGTTCCTTTCTCCATGTTCCAAATTAAGCTAAGCTGGTGTAACTAACCCGGACATGTGCCTGTTGATATACTTGTCTTAGTAATATCTACAACAATATCACAACTGGTGGATGGCACCACAGTATACATACAGTATACATCTATACATATATTGTATGTTGGTATACCTGGGCACATGGAGTTAGTACCTAACCCCGATTCATAAGGCTTAAAGTAATAATACGTGAGAACAAATGCATAGTCAAGAATAACTGTGGTTCACAGATGTCCCCTTCAACTTATATTTTAACCCAGGACCATCAGAAGGCTACGGAATTCATGTGTACCCACAGAAAATGAAGACTTTTTTTTTCTTGCAGTTTCCTCATGAATACAACCATGGGTGTTAATATCCTATCCTTTACATATTTAGTAGCTGATCTTTGAATGGTGCATGCACGTTCTAGGACTTCCACATCTTTGGATAGTTCAGCCAACTGTAGCCACACCACACATCCTGCAATTAACCTATTATGGCATTATCTGACTGTTTCGCTTCCTTGCTGTGCTCATGACTCTCCACAGCCAGTCCCTCCATCTTTCGCTACTGTATTGCTATGCACAGTACCCTCCTCTCTGTCATCCTCATCTGGTCCCCCTTTCTAGCATTTAGTCTGTACATGATCTGCTTTCCCTGGCCTCTGAATTTCTGTGGTCATTTAAAGGTGGTCTAGGTGAAGAGAAATCACAGCTCTCAGTTAACAGTGTGGTAGATTAATTGAGCTCTAACTTATTCCTGACTACAATCTGTAGATAAACCCAACGCAAACATTTAGTAAATTGGTTTTCCTTTATTTTCACCTTCTGCCAGTAATACACCAGTAGTTCACTCACTGCACCTTTTTGCACACACTGACAGTTAAAGCTGCAACTGCAGCTGTGAGAGAATATTAGTGTGCAAAAAAATATTTTGGAACTTTTAAAACTGCTAAGTGTAAAAAAATGCATCTTTTTGCCGGCAGTAAGTAACTAGGACTTGGATTTCATAAGAAATGTGTCTAACAAATGCTTGAACCTGCCTTTGCCAACGATTCTGTGTTCATTGGGTTCAGCACATTTTTGTAGTCAAAGGAAAATGTGAAATCAATACATGGAAACCAAGTGTAGCAAACGTTTTCTTCTTTGTTGTGCAAGAAAGATTTGAGGTCTTCCATTTTTATAATATCATTAATATCATTTAATTTGCCCAACTTAGGGGAGTTACAGGTAGTTTATAAAGGGTGGGGATGCATGCTCCAGCTGCATTGAGTAGGTGTTTTATGCGGGAAATTGTTTATGGTTTCATTGGGATGTTGTTAAGGTGGAGAAGGTAGCCAGCCGGGTTCTCACCTAGATCAATGTTGTTTTGCCTTGTCCGAGAATGATAGGAATAGGGAACAGTGTCATAAGCTATGAATAAGCGTACCTGGGTCTGATAGACAGCACCAGCAGGTTGTGGGAAATTCTGGGTAGACTTTGTGAAAAAGTGTCAGTATCCTGTACCAAAAGCTTGTAATTCTGTTCCTGGAAAAGGTTAGCTATAGATGCTTGGTGTATATAGTCTATTTGTGCAACATTGAACTTAGATTGAAGGTCATCTACCCATTTAACTATATATGGAGAAACAGAGTCAGTGGATAGAGCCACAGTAAGCTTGTATAAGTAAGGTAGCAAATGGGAGGTTGGAGACTGATCTTGACAGAGGTTCTCGTAAAGGGATTGTGGACCTAGTGAGTTGAGTGTTGTCTAGGATTGCTTTTGAAAAGTGGGGGAGTAAATAACCTGCCCAATTATCCATTGGTGGAGACAATAGGTTTTGGATTCCCTTGTTGCTTAGCCAGCGTGAGGAGGTACGGAAGTGGAGAAGTATCAATTTATTGCCCATCAAGAGATGTTTGAAGTGCCTTTTGTGAGTGCATGAGGGGGAAGTGTGGGTCCACTAAAACTGGCATGGGCGAAGAAAAAGGTGTGATTACAGCTTAGAGGAAAGTATAGTGAGGAGTAGGGTTGGCTCCAATGGTCAGGTGGGTGTTGAGGGCTAAAGAATCACACAAAGGGAGCCATTGGAGAATACATTTGGAGGCTGTCTTGTTCAGTTTGTACCCATAGTTTGGTTTGAGCTTGACGGTACTCCTCAACCATTTGTGTGAGATGTAGAGCTTTATAATGAGCGTGAAGGTCAGGTAGGCCTATTTTTCCATATTTTCTGGGAAGGGTAACAGAAAAGAGAATAATGGATACGGGTTGGTTTATTCTCCCAAATTAACAATAGTAGTGGGAAACATAGATGTGAGAAGATTACGTGTGGTATAAAGATTTGCAGTGTTTGGATTAATTAGGTTTTCACTGCACTGCATTTTCTAAACCATGTCATAGTCAATGTCTGGCAATGATGTAGGTCTTTTTCAGATTTTGGGCCAAAGAGGGGAGTAGTTGGCCTCAAATAATGTGCCAGGATCAAATGTGAGCCACCTACCCAGGTATTTGAGACAATCTTGAACTCATCGAACTGGGAAGTCTCTTTTGTAGTTCAGGTAGTCTGTCAGGGGAAATAGATATTTGGGGGGCCTCTGATTTGTTGTAATTTATTTCGGCATTAGAGAGATCCCCATATTTTAGGAAGAGCGTTAGTTGGGCAATGCCATCTCTAGGTGCCACTTGGTGGTGCACATTGGAAAAGGACAGCCCCATAATATTTTGGTTTATTGTGATGGTGCACAGAAGAGGCTCCAATGTAAGTGCCTAGATGAGGACTGATACGGAGCAACTCTGGCAAGTAGAGCAAATTTGAGTAGGTCTCTTTGAGTTAAACTGTTGCCTGCTGGGAGGAGTAGAGGGCAGATATCTAGAAAACCATGTGGGCTCCTAGGCTGATATATGATAACGTGGAGTGTGCAAATTGCCAGTCTACCTGGTTTGAAGGCCTTCTCTATGTATGTGGACAAAAGTAGCAGGTTTGACCCTCAAACAGACTGAGTAAATCAGATCAGTTACCCTTGAGGTGTTGTCTTGGGCCTCTTGTCGGGGGACAAAGCTCACCTGGTCCATATGAATGATTTTTTGGATATGAGGAAATAATCTGTTGGCTAGAAATTCTTCAAATCTAGCTTTAGTAGTATCTACTACATTGGGTTGGATCTGAGTCCTCTTTAAGGAGCACAGTAATGTGTGCTCAAAGTGTGTATGATGGATTTTTATTTGGTTTATGCTATGGACGTGCTTGTATATAGTCCTCCTGCATTGAACTGTGTTTGTTTCCTTGCTAAGTAAAAGTGCAGGACAAACCTGCTTGGACTGTTCTATAAGTTTCGCACGATTGTAGGAACCTTATTTATATGATTAAGCCTTATTGATGAAATGCATCAGACAGTTCTGTTTCAGCTGGGAAACATGTTTTTGGTGTATACACATTTGTTGATTACAAATAAAGATTGGATTCACTATTGAAGATCCATGGAGTGCGGGTGTCTTTTTGGGCTGGATTGACTGAAGGTGATAACACACCGGTTGGCCTGCACCTGTGGGTTCTCCATTACATGGATCTAGCCAGAGAATTGGAGCGGTGAGATTTCTCTGTGAACTTATGTGTATTATTGTATGTGTGTATTTCTGTGTGTGGAGGGGGTGTGTTTGGGGTGTTATTGTGTGTGTATTTCTGTGTGTGGAGGGGGTGTGTTTGTGTGTGTGTGTGTATTTCTGTGGGGGATGAGTGAATGTGTGAATTTATTGGTCCTCTATGATGAAATAATCTCTGTCCAGTTCTGCCCATCTCACTGACGTCACTGGTTGCCAGGAGCTCGGCGGTAAGCCGGACAGAGCGTCCCAGGTTGCTAAGAGCTCTTATCTTTCTCCATTATTTGCCCGATCCACACCTCTTCACTAAATCTACAACTTTTTTCGAAGCTGTCTGTCTAGGGAAAGTTGCCATATGCAAAACCCTCTCCCCCTCATACCAACTTTTATTACATGTGCATTCTCAACAGGACCCACCTTTGCCTTCAAATATGTTTTCTTCCTCTCAGCTTTCCCCTTTACTCCTCCCTTCTGACTGCCCTTCCCCTGGTCCTTTTTGCCCTTCACTTCCCCGTTGCAACCCCCAATTTGGACACACGAGGAGTTTCCCTGGGACACCCTTGTAGCCTTTTGTTCTTAGGATAAAAAGTCCCTAGTTTCTCCCCCCTTGTTCTGTGCATGTTAAAATACATTCCCTCGAGCTTATCCACACGTGCCTTTGTTTTATTGTGACAAGACTAAGAATGATATAGCTCATATGGTCTGTGACAATGTGATGTTTCAATTCATGAATTGCTCTTGTAGCTCCAGATGTCATTTACTGTGTGTATTATGAAATTGTAGAATCTGTTAACTTAAAAGCTGGAATTTGAACAACCCCTCGCTTTCATTACCTTATCGCCCCGTTCACACCAAGGCCTTTGTTGCGAGTATTTTTCCGCATTGAAAAGCTCAATACAACAAATTCCATTCATTTCTATAGCACCCGTTCACACCTGAGTGTAGTGTCGCGCGTAGAAAAACGCCTGTTGCTGGAAAAAGTACATGAGCTTTTTTTTGGCCAGATCAGCACAATTTGTCCCCATAGACTCAATAGGAAATGCTTGAAAACACGTGTTGCAATTGTTGTTGAGCGTTGTTTTGCGTGTGTTTTGCCTATTTACATGAATGCGATCATAAAAACACACAGCTTTATATACGCACAAAACATGCGTAAACTGCACGCAAAAACACACTAAGAAAACATGCGGAATTCGCACTGAAACGGCGTAAACTGTGTGTGAACGAGGCCTTAAAGGTGATGTAAACCAAAGTGATGTTATTGCATGCATTAAAATGCAACATGCAAATATAAAATGGCCTTTCTTATATCTTCTAATGCTTTAATTTTAATGTCAAGAAAGCTTGAATAAATGCTTGTGGCAAAATATGAATGGAAGCGAGGTAAATAATAATTATGAAGGAAATGTAAATTTTGAGCTTTCCCTGTTGTTTTGAGAAAGACAAGGCTAAGTGTGTGTGTGTGTGTGTGTGTGTGTGTGTGTGTGTGTGTGTGTGTGTGTAAAGTCTGTGCTGCTATATTGTATGTACATATTTCCTTTCTGCTATTGGCTAAAGACTCTACTGGGACTAAACAAGTAACATATAAAAGTCAATGTGCCTTTAATAGCTGATACCTTGTTATCAGACTTTCTGTGTTCTTGCCTGAATGCCTTTCCATTCTTGATTGTCAGATAGGTAGACTTGGCCGAAAGGTGACACATTTTTCCATGTAATGCAAAGCCAATCTTACTCACCTGTAGCAAAAATAGACATTGCTTCAAACTTTATCACATTTCCAGTTATAGTGTGGTTGTCGTTTTAAGTAAGCACTGTATTGAAACATAATAGGTATGTTTATGTTTATGCCGCTTCCACAAAATGCTGTAAATAACATATACAGGGTTATTCACAAAAGGGTGAAGAGTTTGAGAAGGCAGGAGAAGTGAACAATCTAGGACAACATAGCTGAACTGGAAAAATTCTCCAATTCAGCTCACTTTCCAGTTCAGCTATGTTTCCTAGATTGTTCACTTCTCCTGCCTTCTCCAAACTCTTCACCCTTTTGTGAATAACCCTGATAGTCATGTTTATTGTATTGAGGTTTTTATTTATGATAGTTAAAAATCATGGTACTCATTAATGTCTGCCTTCCAAAATTAAGGAGGTTAACAATTCTGAAACCTTATACAGCCTTAAAGCTGCATTGCCTTCTGCTAGGAAACCATTGCTGCAGGATGTTTTGGTATCCCCCAAACCTGCGGTGTTTGTAGCATGTAACACCTGACTTTTTTTAAATGTCATTGCTGGTGATTGCCCTCACTATGATGTAATGCAGTGTGCTTCTTAACAGTTTACTGAGGCCCCCATTTGCACTGTGTTACGCAATGGGGGTATCCTCAAAGCCAACTATTGCAAAAGCAGGAATTTGCATGCTAAACAGGGGGATCCTGGGCCAGCAACAGTTTCACAAGTGGAAAGCACTAATTGGCAGCTGGTGGTTCAAACTTCCAATTCAAAGTTATTTTCCAAGATATAGTTCAGTGACCTGTTTATGCTTAAGAAAGCAATAACAAGTTTAAGAGTTTTTAAGGTATATTTTTGTCAAACAGGAGCATTTTACAGCCACTAGGATTATAAATGGTTTCTTAGAGTGGAACTACAACCTCTTATCCTTTACAGCCAAAGATAGGTGCCATCTTAGCCTGTATTTGGATTGCAGTTGCCACTGTGCTGCACATATAATCAGCTGTGACACCAGCCATTTGAGGGCTTGAAAGTTTGGTTGAGAGCTGAAATAAACACACTGGTAGCATCCCCTTTCTACGTAAAGCAAATCTCTAGCTTTTTGTCCTCCCAATCTTTTTAATTAATTAGAAAGAAATCGTAAAATGCTTTCTCCTGCAGTCATCTAGCCGGTCATGTAAAATCAGGGCAGGCTTTCTTTTCTTCTCTCTAGTCAGTGAGGGGCACCACTCACTAACTCTGGAGTACTGTGAGCCATGTGCTCCCCAGGGTGCATGTAGACAACAGGCTAGTCTCATAGCAAATGAGCAGAATTACTTGATTGCCATTCAGCATGTGCTAGATGTAGGAGGAAGCTGGAGACAAGTGCTGGAGCAAGGAGAGGGTAAGTATACGTTGGCAATTCTTTTTTTTTTTTTCACTACACGATGGGGGGCGGGGGGGGGGGGGGAGGTTGAGAAAAAACAAAAGAAAATTAAGTTCTACTTTAAAATGCAACCATCTGCATTCTGCCGTGAGTTGACAAGTGTTTTTGATAGTGAATAACCTTTACAGACCGCTACAGGCAGCATCAACCTTTGCACACATTGATTTTACACCAGATACAATTGATCATATGAACTGCATACTAAACAATAAGGTGATCAGGGAGGGGGAGTACAAAACATTCATCCCAACGGATGAAGTAACCCCGTCATCATTTTTCTTCTTTGCTATTCCAACTCCCAATCCAAGAACTCTACTAATGTTGTTTAAAAATAACACAATCTCATTGTAATTTCTGAAAACACTACAACCTTTAAGACCTCTGAAGGCCATAAGCTCTCCTCAGCACATTACTGCAGAGCAGAAAAAAAAATCTGTCAATACTGTGGAAGCTTTCTTTGCTGTGCTGTTAATCAACATGATGTAATGGAGTGGGTAGGCAGAGACGGTATGTGAGGGTGTAATGTGTTTGCATTCTAATTGCTCTTCCCTTGCAAAGAAAGAAGCTTAAAATGAAAGGTATTATTTCGTTATGTATCATGATATTTACTGGTCCTCTCATTTCAAGCAATTTCCTGCTTTATGTGAGACTAGAGTGAGATTTAACATTTGCAACTATAGTACTTAAACTGATTATCTCTTTTGTTTTGTTTTTGTTTTTTCTTCTTGCAGCACTCTACGTCTCGTCTGGGTTACCAAAGCAATGTTCAGGGATCCTCTCAGCCCACCAATACCTTGGGCTACTCCACAACATCTCAGCAAAGTTCACAATATCATCAGTCTCACAGGTACTAGGAAGGTGAGCTGTTATAGCACATTGCACAGGCTCCAGTTTAATGAAGCAAAGAACCTCACCTACTTTTATCTAGGATGCTGAAAGAAAAATATGGGGTCTTCAGAACTTCAACCGTGTCATTGTCAAATGGCGTCATCAAGAGTTTGGAGAAGCTTCTTCATTAGTGATCTTCTTGCACCTTCCTGTGTTTCTTGTTGCATCCACATGTTTTAGAAAATGTGATCTGATGCCAGCACTTACTTACCTTTAACTTTAAAAAAAAACATTCTTTGTGCAGCTATCAAGCTGCTGAATCGAACTTCATGTTGTATATAGAAGAAAAAAAAAATGCGAGATGTGTATAGTTTTGTATTTGTAAAACCAAGACAAGGCAAAACGCAAATGCACCTTTTAAGCACTGTGTTCTGTTCACAGAACATTGCAGTTTTGCATATGGATGTCAAGAAATGGAACATTTGCTGTTCCAAATTTCCTATTTTGCTTTTATGTTTTTTAATTAACAGAAATATAAGAAAAATATCAATACGCCTGCATCAGGAATGGTGATATAAATGCAGGACCCAACTCAGGAGTGGCTGAATTAAATTAAATGGTAGTACAATTTATCTGTACAATTCAACCATTAACTTGTTCATACAGAAAATTACATATGATTTGCAGCTTAATGCATCGATAGCTATTTATTAACTCTAGCAAAATTTAATCCTTGCAGTGAATTATGAAGTAGTCACCAAAATTGTGCAGTGATTTAAACTTTGTTGAAAAAAAAGCACAAGAAGGTTCATACAGATCACTCCGTTTCAGTTTATCTAAGCAGAATAGAGGCAAGGCCTGCCCGAAAATTTAAATAAGCATCCCATGTAACCTCTCTATGTCCCAGTAAGGTCTTATATGACTAGAGTGGACAGGGTATTTATATCACAGACCATATGATAGGGGAGTAATTTAATAGTAAATTATTTTACAAAAAGTATGTCTTAGTGATTCAGGTATCATGAGACACAAGAAAAGCAGCAATAGAAATGTCCATCTGCAGTTACTGTCCTGTGGCAGTGAACAATTTTGGTGACCATTTCTCTTTTACTAATAGTAAAAACATCTGCTATTGATAGCACGGCCTCATCCATATTGGAAACGTAGAGGGAAACATCTAAGTAGAATGCAAATTCTAGAGAAGATTTATCTGTGGTCTCAACATCTGAGTTGGAGGTATCCTAGTCTTGTTTATTATTCTTGTGTCATCCTTATGATGTTACAAACTTTGTTGCTAAATAAACACTAGCTAGACAGGAGCAAGTAAGAGGCAAAAGTCATTTGTGCACAATTCTCTCTCATTTTGTCCCTCTTTAAAATTAAATAAACATTTAGCCCTGGGTATCATATTGAAAATTGGTAGTCATCTAGGATCCCACTGGTCGATCCTGTCCAAAACCAAATTTCCAATTTTGGATTCAACATATTGACTGTGAGTCATGCTATGACCTTCGATGTTAGGTTCAGAATTGTAATTTGTTAGCTGTTTACCCCATTATGTACAGGAGGTCCTCTGTGTTAGAAATCAAATGCATGATTATAGGATGTGCTAGCTACTTTCAGTGGATAAAATGGTTTTATATGCTGAGCCAATATTAACACTGCAGCAAGAAAGTAATTTGAATATTTTCCAGTCTCCGGTTTGGGGGCATTCTGACCACCTAAACGTTTCTGAGGTAGGAATGATTCTGAGTACACACAGTAACCAATAAGAGTCTCTTTTTTAAAGCTGATCTCTGGACATAGAAAAAACCTTCCTCTCCATTCCCTTGAAATCATTTGAAAAGATTATATACACTATGATAATATACTGCTGTATGTTTTCCCTGTAACATCATCACAGGGATTCCTTTCAGCGGCTGCATGTGTGCTGACAGGGTGAAAGGAGTGCTCCTGTCATTGCCACGGTAACATGGAGCAAGGCAGACAGCTGTCACTACAGAAAGCTGTACAATCCAACCAGATGCACAGACAGGGATGAAGTAACTTCTACGGTGTGCTAATGGCCGGGAGCTTTTGTGCTGGTGGGGAGAGTCTTGGAAAACCCCACCTACACACAATGGTGTTCTCTAGCTTCTGTCTGCATTGCACTACACATGGGGTAAAGCAACCAGTCACCCTGCGTAGAGGAAGTGAGCAACGGTGACACTCGATTTGTTCAGTTTTATGTGCAGAAGGGGAATAACTAGGAAAATTATGTTGGTTGCTGTGAGTGAAAAGAAAAGTTCCTAAATCAGTTACTTCGGTATAGGGGGTCCTATTTGCCTTATACCTGCAAACCTCAACAGTGCTTCCTGTAAACTGATACGCTACTGCAGAATACAGGGATGTGATATTTGGCATCCAGTTACACATTGGACACCGGAGAAAAGAACTGAAATATGTAATACAATATATGTGCCAGGATGAGCAGACTATTCATTGTTTACATACATGTATAAAAAAATGTCCTTCTGGTTATCTAAAACATTATTGTGCTAGCCTGCCAAGGCACTGATTAGGAGATTGAAAGAATGATTCTGTTGTCTTGTGCTCCTTTACAACCTCTGGTTGGAATCTTTACACATATTTATTCCTCAATATTTATTGTGCATTACATATATTTTTTAAACAAATCTAAAATCTACATTCATCTTAACTTTTCTTGCATTGTGTGATAGGTAAAGTATGTGGACATTTATTCTGGCTATACAGTACTTGTCTCAGTAACTTAATATAATATTTTAAAACAGAGGGCTTTAGCATTAAAATGTGTGTGAAGGAATTGTGTGTAATCAATAACAAGCAATCTACCTTTCATTTTTTAAATGTTGAGATCCAAGAATTATAGGACACTTGCAGTGTTCTGAAATACAAGCCTTTGATACAGAAAGGCTGAAAACATAAAAATGACAGAAAACCTTTTTGCAATGCTTATAGTACACATGAAAAGTCTGTTGGCAAGGCCTTTTCAGTTGTTCTTATATTTGTAGACTTTCCACAATAAAAACTAAAGTATTTGAGAAGACAAAAAGTGCCCCAATTTTTGGATCTCAGTAGTTGGACAATTTGCCTGTTTGTTACAGCAATGTAAACTAAACTACACCACCTGTAGGGAACTATGACAACATTTATGTGTATTCCAAGACAGTCCTGTTGAGTCAGCTGGAAGGCTACATCTCCTAAACTTCCAGTTTTTGTTGTGTGCTCAAACACTCCTTGCTTTGCATTTTAGATTAAAGACTAGTTCACACCATCCTCAGTGCGTTCCGGCACGATTGTTGCCGGAACGCACTGGATCGCATTCTGACCGGCTCACTTTGTTTTGGGGCGGGAGGGGGCGTGTCGATGCATTGAACTCAATGGCACCGCAGCCACCCCCTTGGGCCGCAATGCGAAAGGCCGCACGGGAACGCGTGGCACATCAGTGCCTGCGTTCCAATCCGGTGCAGTCAGAAAACATAGTGCGGTCGCTACTTTTTCTGCCAGAGGGCGTGGCTGTGGTGTCATTGAGTTCCGCCCCAAAACTAAGTGAGCCGGCCGGGAATGCGATCCAGTGCGTTCCGGCCACAATCGGGTCGGAACGCACTGAGGATGGTGTGAACTAGCCCTTATATTGGGGAGCTGGATTGGTTGCTGTGGGCAGAAACAACATGTGGCCCCTGAAGTACACAGCCACTCACCCCAAAGCACAGGCACATCCAGGTGCCTACACACCAGCTTTAATGTCCAGCAGAGCAACCATAACCCCCCCAAAGCTGAAGTAACACTATAATGCAACTACTTTCAAGGTCTGGCCCATCCGCTCATACTTTTTTTTTTTTTTAAATACTATTGGCTAGTGATACGTCCTGTCACATGGCCAATAGTTGGGCGCGGGGAGCAGACCGTAGGGAATGAACACCAAAACCTGTCACTGGCTGCAACATGGCTTTCAGGGGTCCATGAGTGCTCTGGTCAAGATGGTATGCCGAGATTTTGAAGTCCATTTCCATCTTTGTAAGTGATTAGCATTTATTGTTGTATGTAAAGGAGCAGTGATGATATATATGTGTGCACATTTTCATTACTCACATGTTGGCTTTTTTACTTTTTTTATGGACTTTTTAGTGAGCCTGAGTCATACAAACCCAACATTCCCTCCACATATTAATGAATGGGTAAAGAGTTCAGTTCCCACAGAGAAGTTTGTGCATGAGGAAAGCATTGTGGGAAATGTAGATTTCCATGCCCTAAATTGTAGTTCACAGTGTGCACAGCAGCCTGTCATTTCAGAAGGAGCCATAATATCACGTACCTGTGTGGAGACTGGATGTGGGAGGAAGCTTCCCTTGCACCTAGTGTCCTAAGGACTCTGGTATTGGGGACAGAGCCCTGGCAGACAACAAGTGGCAGAAATGCCAGTGGTGTTATCACCGTGCAAGCCAATATCTGGTTCCGCAGCAGGGTTGTAGATATCGCGAAGTCCAAGGTCGACAAGCCGAGGTCACACCGAGCAGGCAGAGAAGGTACAAAAGGAGTAGGCTAAGGCAGTCCAGTAAAGCAATCCGAAGTCAAGGGCATGGACAAACAAGAATGGTCAAACAATCCGAGGTCAAGGGCAGGCTGCAGACAAACAAGGTCAAAGTCAATCCGGGTCAATAATCACAGGAACAAGGAACAGGAGACATCAGGGCGGTTGAAAAGACAATCCAGCAATGAGTCAGTGTGTAGCATATGTTTAAATAAGGGAGGCAATAGATGGAGAGCGTCACTTCCTGTGCGCCACTTGGCACGTTTGTCCGCGCCCAATCCGTGGCGCGCGCAATTGTAGTACAGAACGCAGGATATGGCGCATGCGCGGAAGCAGTTGGTCTCTGACACATAAGGGGGTGAAGAGGACAGCTAACAAAAAAAAAAGTGTCTGTGTTCCTATACAGCAACTGCATATGTCTGCTACATATACACTTGCTGTACATCGGTAGCATATGTTTGTTAATAAATACCTCTGCAAAGGTGGAAA